TGCATCTCCTAACTGGTTCTCTGGACCTCTTGCAGGAAAAAAAATCCAAATAAGGGAAGCAAAGCTATCCAGACTGGCAAGGAGAAGTGGGTCTAAAAAATGCATTAGGCAAAAATGAGCCATTTGCATCTCCTGTCTGCTTAGCTCCAAGGTAAAAGTGAAGTGTGTTCCCAGTGGGACCCAAGTGTCTGCACTAATCAAGCCTGCTGATGCTTCAGGGGGTTTCGGGAGAAGCCAATGGGGGACAGCAGAGTGTTCATCCCTCCGTGACTCGATGGCTGCCTCTGGATTAGTCAGCTGAGTGAAAAAGTGATAAGAAATTGAAAAATGAAGACTCTGCCCTTTTAGACAAATGGATTTAAAGGGTGAAGGAAATGTAGAAATAGAGGGTAGCAGAGATGTTAGAGACTGTCTTGTCTGCCTCGCTCAACTCTCAAGCATTTATTAAGCACCTACTGTGTGCCAGGCACTTTGTTCGGTCCTGGGTACGAGGAATGAAACAATCCTTAGTCTCAGGGGACTGGTATGCTAGAGAAAGGCACTTGACACAGGAGCAAACCCCAGAGAGGGGGTCAGTGACTCGCTCCAGGGCTCCAGGAGGCCTGGCTTCTGGGGCTGTCTCAGTCCCTCACTCACTGCCTGCCGGTCCAGGGATCTTTCCTCTATTCCTTGCTGAGCTTTGTTAAGCTGTAGGGCGGGAAGGAAACAGCAGACTCCTGGGAAAAAGGCTGATTCATTCTCAGGGAAACCAGACTGCCCTGAGTGTCTTTGCTGCATGAAGGATAGATTTAAAATACCCCGACTTCACACCTCCTTCCCAACATGCCACCAACCAGCCGCATCAGGTGTGCAGGGCCTAGGACACAAGACCTGCAATGAAGGGTCTTAAAAATAAAAATGCAGACAGTGTGTGTGTGTTCCCCAGCCACCACCAGCAGAAATGGGTGTGAGAGAACAGAGGAGACAGGGAAGTGACTCAGGCATGGGACTTGAGTCCCACCTCCTATACCTAACAGCCCTGACACCAGGCAGGATGGGAGAAAGACCCTGGACTTAAAAGTCCTGAGACAGGGCTCCCACCCCAGATCAACTACATACTAGCTGTGGGACCTTGGAGGTCCTCTTCCTCCCTATGAGCCTTAACTCCCTCATCTGGGAAATGGGCTTAAAAATTGCCATGAAGGATTGTTGCAGGAGGGAGACCCCTTAGTCAATCTGAAAATACCCTGAGTATCTGGGTTATTACTGTCCACACTTGTAAAGCCGAGACCAAGAGTGATTAATGTGTATGTAGCTCCAGAAACTTTAAAGTAAATGTAGATGAAGTGGTCATTCTTAAATGATTTAAAGTTGGCCTACACTTTACTTTTTGAGTCTCACAACTATTCTGGGCAGGGAAGTGCTATGAACATCCCGATTTTACAGATGAGACAATGGAGGCTAAGAAGCAGTGAATGACTTGTCCAAGGTCACAAAGTTGGTTGTCCGAGGTGGGATTTGAATTCAGATCTTCTTAACTCAGAGAGCTGAGCTCTAGTCATTGATGGCATCCTGTCTCTAGGACAGGGAGGGATTTCTAACTTGGAGGCCTAGATGTCCATGAACTTGGAAGGGGAAACATAACAATTACATCTCTATTTCAATCTGATTGGGTTTGGGGTAATCTGATACATTTTTATGTGATGCTTTTCATCATGTGATTTTGAGAAGGTGTCTGTAGGCTTAACAAATGTTGGTTGGGTTATATTGGCTAGTACCTATCTTGTTTTTAGGGGAGACAATCATAGTGTGCTAACAGGAGCATAGGACTTAAAGTCAGGAAAAACTTGCGTTCACACAGTTAGTCAACAAGCTTTTATTAAGTGCCTGCTATGTACCAGGCACTTGTGCTAAGTGTTGGTAAGTTGGTAAGTCCCACTTACAAGTTGTGTGATCTTGGGTGTCTTGACTTCTCTGGGCCTTGGTTTCCTCATCCAGAAAATAGATATATAAACGCTTATACTACCTACTGAACAAGGCAGTTACGGGGAGAGCCCTCTTTATAAACCGTAACCTGGTCTATAAATGTGAGCTATGATGATTACCATTGACCTGTGAGGGTGGTGATGAGGATTAAATAAAATGGTAAGGAAAGCAAGCATAACTAGAAAGAGCAATAGAAATGTGACTTATGAAGACTATTATTGGGTTTTGTTTTCAAAGACGATGCCAGTGATGGTGATTAGAATGTGTGAGCCTGGCTGAGATCGCACCGATCAATGCTTGGCCCACAGACCTTTGAAACACTCTTGGGAATCCTCCTTCAGTTAATTCAAGGCAGTGTAGAGTGGTATAAAGGGAAGCCTTAGAAGACCCTGGTTCAGATCCTGGTCCTGCTGCTGACCGACTGTGCAACCCCAGGGGAGAAAGCTTCCATTTCCTTGTGTGTAAAACACAGAGAAAATAAGACCCACCTGGAAAGGCTGGTCGGAGGAAAATAATTTCTAACCTTGAATCACACAATGGATGGGAGTTATTATTATCATCATTAGTGTCTGTGGCCACTTTGTAGGGATCTTGGTGATATTCATGCCTTTGCCTAATTAGTAGGGAGTGAGGGGAGGGGGAAAGAGAATACATGTGTTTATATGCTATGTGATTCACTCTCCCCTGCTTCTTTGCCTTGATAGTTAACACTTACATGGAGAGTTAAGGTTCACAAAGCAGTTTACAAATACTCTCGTTTGAGCCTCACAACAACTCTGGGAGATAGGTGTTATTATTATTCCCATTTTACAGATGAGAAAACTGAGGCAGACAGCAGTTCCGTGACTCGACCAGGATCACACAGCTAATAAGTGTCTGAGGCTGCATTTGAACCCAGGTCTTCCTGACTCCAGGTCCAGTGCTCTATCCACTGCACTATTTTGACACCTGGGTAGAGATAAACATAATACAAATGAATGAATGAATGAATGAATAAGTAAGTAAATGAATGAATGAATGAATGAATAAGTAAATAAACACAAATAAATGAATGAGTGAATAAATGAATAAATGAATGAATGAATGAATAAATAAATAAATAAATAAATGAATAAATAAATAAATAAATAAATAAACAAATAAATAAATAAATAAATAGTGAGATGAGAAGACTTTCAGACTCATCACCCAACCTGTCTCCCTTATCGCTCTCTGGGTCATGTAGACGAAAGCATTCTTGGAGGCAGCCAGCTCGCTGTACACAGAAAGAAGAAGGACTCTCTACCCCCATCCCCTTCTTTGACAGTGCTCTCTCTCTCCTCTCAAATCATAGTGCATGTATTTATTTATCCATCCAAATGCTGTGGACCCTCAGTAAGACATAAGCTGCTCGTAGGCAGGGGATATTTTTTTTCACCTTGTCTTTGTATGCCTACCATAGTAGCAATCAATGCATTTATTAAGGACATACTATGTGCCAGGCACTGTGCTAAGCAGAGGAAATACAAAAACAGTCCCTGCCCTTGATGAGCTTATGTTGAGTGGAAAAAGCTTAATAAAGACTTGTTGGATCAGAATGAATTGAATTGAGTCGATTTTAATTGAACCCAATCATTTGACAGAGTGGAGCTGAATTCTTCATTCTTACCTGAACACCCCCCACCCCCCGCCAAAATCCAGGTTCCTTTCTCTATGTGATTCTGAGACACCAGCTCCCCAGCGCAGTCAGCTGGCACCAACACCTGCCAGGGCCCTACTAAACGTCTGGGTCAGAAAAAGAGTGGGTTACTCATAATCCCCACAGCCTGTGCTGCTCCAGAATATCAAACCTCCAGCCCCCAACATCTTGCAGAAAAACAGCCCGGAAGCTTAACGTATCCCCCTCGCCAGACTCTGGGTCATGAGGACAAAAGCATTCCTGGAGGCAGCTGGTTCCTTGTAAATAGAGAAAGCTTCTCCCGGTGGGCACCGACTGGATGAGACTGGATTCCTAGCTAGCCTGAGACATTAGGCTGATTCATGTCTCGTGTGTGTATGTGTGTGTGTGTGTGTGTGTGTGTGTTTAATCTCTAATTTAATCTCTAATATATGTAAACAATACAATATGCATATACACAAACTCATTTTGTATATGCTATACATGTAGCTATATGTGCACACACATATGTTTACATATACACGTGTAGATCTATTTGTGTTTATAGTTATATATACATATATTATATCTTCAATGGCCATTAAATCCAGCAAAATACACACATATGTACATACACACATGTGTACACATAGATTTGTGTGTGCATACATGCACACAGTCTACATAAACAAACACACATGTGTGTTTATATATATATGTGCACATATAACTATAGACTCACATGTGTATATACATCTATGTATACACATAAAATACGGTGTCTGTATATTTGTGTGTGCATGCATATGTTATATTTTATATGTACATACTTTTATCTTCAACAACTATTAAATTCAGGAAAACATGCCTACACATGTGTATATGCATATATACACACATTTGTCTATATGTGCATATACATGTATGCACACACATACACAGGCATATTTGCATTGTATATATGTGTGCATATATGTTTGTGAGCAGTGCAGATATGCACATGTATGGGTACACAATATTTATGTGTATGCACATGTGTATACATATGTATCTGTGCATGTATATATATGTATATATATATATTTTTTTTTTGCTGAATTGAATGGTCATTGAAGACATCAAAGACACAGCAGAAAGGATTAAAATATTGCTGTCTACAGTTTAGGGACAACAATGAATGATTATGTATTGGAAGTCATAAATGGAAAACAGGGAGAATATAAATGACTTTATCTCTAGGCCTGTTAGAAGCCCTGCTCTGGTTCTGACAGGCAGGCTTAATTAGATCTTAATGCAACGTTCAGATGGATGTCATTAGCAATAGCCCGTACTTGGCTGAAGGACAATGGAAGGCTTCCCAGTGTTCCAGCCCCCAATCGATGCCCCGGACAATACTCACTCTTGGGTCCCCACACTTGAATTTTAGCCTCTCCACCATCTCCAGCATGGCCACCTTCAGATCCACTGGTTCTCTGTTCTAGAAGAGAAAAGAAGGTGGGAGGGGTCACTGGGCAGCCCCCCCGGCTGCTCTGTCGAGCGAGGGCCAACAAGGAAAGAGAAGAATGTTTCTCTTCTTCTCAGATAGCCGGGAGCCCCGCGTGGCCAGGCTGGCAGCTCTGCCCTCTTCCCTCCCCTCCCCCAGAACAGAAATTGCCCAGTGACCTGGGATATCTGCTGGAATGAAAGTGGATGCGCTCAGACAGGCAGGCTCATGGGCTGCCGGCGTCTCTGGGCTGAAGAGTGGAGGCCCAGGCAAGAGGCCTGAGGCAGGAATTGGGAGGCAGGAGGGCCGCTGCTCTGACTTGCTCATCGTGAGCATCCTGCACCACTCTCATGCCAAGACTTTATCTCTGAGGAGATGTGACTTCAGGGTGCCATGGTTTGGGGCAGTGGGGACCAGGAGGTGGGTCACGAGGAGCCTCAAAGGGTCAGAGGTTTAGAATGAAGGGGACACTCCCTCCCAGGTCATCTAGTCATCCTTTCCCCCTCCCACTTTTGTACAGTTGAGGAAACTGAGGCCAGGGAGGTGAAGGCCTGTCACAAAGGTAGTAAGCATCAGAGACAAGATTTGAACCCAGCTCCTCTGACCACAGAAGCCCTTGGTTTACCCCATACAGACGTGCAAAGTGAGGTCATGGAGCTCATTTGGTGGCAGAGCCTCCTGACTAGTGCTTTCTGGGGTGTTTGTGGATCACTCCTTCCCTGTCTCCAGCCTGGGGAGGAGCCCTGCAGGCTCAGGCAGACTGCTCTTCAGACCCAAATGCATGATCTGTTGCCAGGCCCTTTCCAAAACCCTTCTAGCATGCTCATTTCTCCTTTCCTCCCCACCCCCACTCTCTTGTGCTGTCACCCCAAATCATGCTATGGGAAACCCCACCATGGTCCACTCTGTCTGAGAAGGATGACTGTGCTCTGGTTTCTGACCCCAGGGCTCTATTGGAACTTCTCTCTCCCAAGGCCACATGTGTCTATTAAACTGCAAAATCCAAAGAATGACCTTTTCTCAGTCTTCATCTTCCTTGACTTTTATGAAATATCTGAAACTCCATCCTTCTGGCCCCTTTCTCCCTGCCTATCTGCCGGTTCCTTCTCAGCCTCCTTTGTTGGTTCACCATTGTCCCCTAAGGGCAGGTGTTCCCTAAGCCTCTACCTTCCTTGTCTCCTCTTCCCTTCAAAATGTTCCCCTTTGATGATTCCCTTCCCTCTTGAGACTTTGGTGACCACCACTATAGACACCCACTAGGTGTGCGACTCTGGGGAATTCACCTAACTGCTCTGTGCCTCAGTTTCACCATCTGTAAAATGGGAAAAATAATAGCACCTCCTTCACAAGGTCATTATTTAGACCAAATGAGATCCTACATGTATGACACAGTATGGTAGGTATCATACAGTATTTTGCAAATCTTAAAGCTCTTATATAAATGCTAGTTATTTTTATCATCATCATTATTATTATTACAGATCACTCAAATTTATATTTCTAGTCCTAATCTCTTCCTCAAGCTCCAGTCACTGAAATCCAACTTCCGTTATATAGCTACACCTGGATATCCCACCAGGGTTTAAAAATTACTTGTGCAAAATAAAAATAATAATGACTTTCATCTATCCCACCAACATTTAAAAATTACTTGTATGAAATTTTAGAAAGATGATGATTCCCACTTATAAAGCTCTTCAAGGCTGGGGAACCATTTTACACACATTATTCCTAGCTAGTATATCTAGACAGATTCAGCTCTCCTTAGAGACAGTGTAGCCTAATGGATAAAGAGCCAGTCCAGCCTAATGGATAAAGAGCCAGTCCCAGATCCAGGAAAACCTGGGTTCAATTCCCCACCCTAACACATACTGGCTTGTGACCCTAGGCAAGTCACATAACTTGCCAGTGCTTTCCAAAACTCTCTAAGACAACCCAGATTGGTGGAGGGAGTTTCCCAGATCACTGAAATTATACCTCCCATGTCTATCTATTACATACATGAAAAGTGAACTCATCACCTTCTCTGCCTCCCTCTAAAATTGGTCCTTCTGTTTCTGTCAATGGTGACCTATGTCTCTCTTCCTCCCCTCTCCCTCATCCAATCAGCTTTCAGGTCTTCTAGGTTCTACCTCCACATTTCTCAGATTGGTCCCATTTCCATCCAGCTTACCCATCCACCAATCTACCTCTGCTTTCATCGCCTCTCACCTGGACCCTTTGCAATAGCCTTCTAAATGTTCCCTCAGCTCCTGTCATGTCCCATCTCTAATGTCCTTCATGGAGCTGCCAAAATCAGCCTCCTAGAGGCCAGGTGTCATCATGTCACCCCCTCCCCCCAAAAGACCTTCTGTGGCTCCCCAAGACAGTAAACTTGAAAGTGCTGGGTTACTAAGCCAGCTCTAAACACAGCTCTGCATCCGGACATATTTATAGGTGAAATCTTTGATGTAGAAACCAGTAAATACATTATCTTGATTTCTGAATTGGAAACCTGTGCAACCTCTCCATGTCCAAACAGAAACAGCGGCTGCGTTATGCCACAGGCCAAATGATGCTCCCACCAAATAGCTCAGACGCCTCTTAAGCCTGCTGTGGCATAATTAGGACTGATAACTGGCTTAAAGACCATCTCTTAACCCCAGGGTCAGAAAAAGGGCCCACTGGGACCCTGGATCACGATTTTTGCCCTTCCTACATAACAAAAAGCATTTACAGGAAGACAGTGGTTTGCCAGCTTAATGAAGAACCTAAATGTCTTTATCCCCTTGAGAAAACGTGCCTAACATCTTTTTCTGCAGAGATGGGGGACTATGGGTGTGGGACATTATATACACAGTCAAATTCCACAGATACATTGGCTAGTTTTATTGCTTTCCTCTCTCTCTTTTTCCTTCCTTCCTTCCTTCCTTCCTTCCTTCCTTCCTTCCTTCCTTCCTTCCTTCCTTCCTTCCTTCCTTCCTTCCTTCCTTCCTTCCTTCCTCCCTCCCTCCCTTTCTCCTTTCTTTCTTACTTTTTTCTTCCTTCCTTCTCTTTCTTTCTTTCTTTCTTTCTTTCTTTCTTTCTTTCTTTCTTTCTTTCTTTCTTTCCTTCCTTCCTTCCTTTCTTTCTTTCTTTCTTTCTTTCTTTCTTTCTTTCTTTCTTTCTTTCTTTCTTTCTTTCTCTCTCTCTTTCTCTCTCTTTCTCTCTCTCTTTCTTTCTTTCTTTCTTTCTTTCTTTCTTTCTTTCTTTCTTTCTTTCTTTCTCTCTCTTTTCTCTCTCTCTCTTTCCCTCCCTCCCTCCCTCCCTCTCTCTCTCTCTCTCTCTCTCTCTCTCTCTCTCTCTCTCTCTCTCTCTCTGTCTCTCTCTCTCTTTCCTTCCTTCCTTCTTTCCTCCCTCCCTCCTTTTCTCTTTCCTTCCTTCTTTCCTTCCTTCCTTCCTTTTTTTTGGGGGGGGGAGGGGAGGCCAAATGGCAAAGAGCCAATGTGACCTACGTTCAAGTCCTGTGTGACCCTGGACAAACCCCTTAACTCTGAATGCTCCAGGCAACTCTCTGCCTTGCTAGAGAGATCTTCCCACCCGGTGAGATTTGTCACAAGAGGGACGCGTAAATTTAAAAATAAAAGTGATGTATTGATCTCTCTCCACATGTGGGTATGTGAGGCTTCAGTTTCTTTGTCTATAAAGTTAATTCCTCATACTAAATGACCTCTGAGCTCCATATGATCCTATTAACCCAGGGATACTACAGCAACATCACCTCTTCAGCAGGCTGCCTTTTGATTCTGACATAGAGTAGGCACAATAAATACTCATGAATAGTGGCTGGTACATAGTGGGCATTTAATAAATGCTCATGGACAGTGGTTGGCAAAGAGTTGGCACTTAATAAATGCTCATGGTCTTCCTTAAAATAATAAATAGCATCTATCTAAAACCTTCAGCAAGCATTATTTGTAATGGGGACAGGCTAGAAGCATTTCCAGTAAGATCGGGGGTGAAACAAGGATGTCCGTTATCACCACTGTTATTCAATATTGTACTGGAAACGTTAGCTTTAGCAATAAGAGAAGAAAAAGAAATTGAAGGCATTAGAATAGGCAAAGAAGAAACAAGGCTATCACTCTTTGCAGATGACATGATGATATACTTAGAGAATCCTAGAGAATCAAGTAAAAAACTACTTGAAATAAGAAACAACTTTAGCAAAGTTGCAGGCTATAAAAGAAACCCACACAAATCATCAGCATTTCTATATATTACCAACAAAGCCCAACAGCAAGAGATAGAAAGAGAAATCCCATTTAAACTTACTGTAGACATTATAAAATATTTAGGAGTCTACCTCCCGAAACAAACCCAGGAACTCTATGAACACAATTACAAAACACTTTTCACACAAATAAAATCAGATCTAAATAATTGGAAAAACATCAGTTGCTCATGGGTAGGCCGAGCTAATATAATAAAAATGACAATCCTACCTAAGCTAATTTACTTATTCAGTGCCATACCAATCAAACTACCAAAAATTATTTTATAGAGTTAGAAAAAATAATAACAAGATTCATTTGGAAAAACAAAAGGTCCAGAATATCAAAGGAACTAATGAAAAGAAATGCAGGGGAAGGTGGCCTAGCAATTCCAGATCTTAAATTGTATTATAAAGCAGCAATCATCAAAACTGCTTGGTACTGGCTAAGAAATAGGGAGATGGATCAGTGGAATAGGTTAAATATGCAAGAGTCAATGACTATAGTAATCTATTATTTGATAAACCCAAAACCCCAGCTTCTGGGATAAGAACCCACTCTTTGAAAAAAACTGCTGGGAAAACTGGAAAAGAGTATGGCAGAAACTAGGCATAGACCCAAATCTCACACCATATACCAAAATAAAGTCAAAATGGGTTCATGACTTAGATATAAAGGCTGATACCATAAGTAAACTGGGAGAACAAGGAATAGTTTACCTATCAGATCTATGGAGAACAGAAGAATTCATGACCAAACAGG